TAACCCACACATTGCGCTTGTTCAAGATTTTCAGCTGCAAAAGGAAAATTGGGCATTCTGTCTTGATGACCCAGACATAAAAAGAAGTTGTCCAGGTCAGAAAGTTTGCTCGGGTTTGATTTTTATTTTAAGTGTTATTGAAACCCTTATGAACCGCAGAACATCCTGCAACATTTCATAAGCCTTTGGATGAGAAAGCTTGGACCTCTGAACGTAAGGTGTGGAAGGAAACACACGTGTCTCAGCCCCTCACCATACCCGTAAGGGAACATGCATCAGAGGGCGTTACAAAGATCTGCCCCCAGCACTGCCGCTGGTTAACAGCAAAAAGCCTTCCGACGTGCCCCCACTTCCTTTCCTGATCCACTTCAAGGTTTCCACAGCTCGCTGCAGCCACACCCCCAGTCTGAAAAGGGTCCGGAATTAGAAACGATGTGGGCAGTTTTTCTAACCATGTAATCAGAATTTACAGTCTGCTCTATGTGAGTGTCAGCGAGGTTAGCACCAAGCAAGCAAGCTTTTAGGGAGCGTGGGAAGCTAATTACCTTCCTCTATAACTCATTAGTCACCATCCTTGTAACCTGAGGCTGTTAGAAGTACAACTGGGATTGAGTAGCATGGAGTCAGAAGGCTTTAGAAATTAATATGTCCAAGAGATCTTCTTTCATCTAGTTTAGTACGTTCTCCTTTGACAGGCTTAAATGACTTTTAGAAGCTATCTTCGTGTTAGGCTGAAAACAACAGAGCAGCTAGGATTACAGAGAAGGAATGTTTTGATTGGAATTGATGATTACCTAATATGTCTCCTTCAGATGAACATGAAAATGGAGCTTATGTATTTAAGTGGCTGCCTGGGATGGAATTGAGGAGGCTTGTAAATGCAGGGAGAAAGGACTGTGTGTCTCAAAATAACCCTTAGCTCCTGTCACAGCACCATTAGAGGCACCCATTCTGTCAGGGGGAAATGCGAACATCAGCCAGAGATGAGCCATCAGCATTCCCCAGTGTCCCTTAAGGAGACGGCAGAGTGGAGAGAAATGGCGACCAGGGCAGGAGACCTCCAGCTAGGGTCGGGTGGGGGCGGGGCCCCGAGAAATAGTCCAGGTAGAGCGGATGGTCTTGGGACAGCCTGATACAGCACCCAGAGAAGCAACCAGGGGCCAGGAGAGCAGCCAGGAGGCAGGAAGCTGGGGGAGTGGCGGGTACCGATCAGCTGACATTTCCACAAGCCCACAGAGGCAAAATACATTGGTCTTTGGTGTCTTTCCTTCCCTGAGCTCCTTCCAAATTTTCACTGAGTTCTAAAGAAAAATTTTAATATATGTCTTATATTTATTTTTTTAACCCTTACCTGAGGATATGGTTATTGATTTTAGAGGAGAGAGCGAGAGGGAGAAACACACACATTGGTTGCTTGTCTCCTGTGTTGTGCCTTTAGTGCGGGACAGAACCTGCACCCTAGGTGCGTGCCCTGACTGGGGCTCAAACCCTTGACTTTTTGGTGCATGGAACGATGCTCCAACCAGCTGAGCCACACTGGCCAAGGGGGTCTTACATTTACTTTTTAATAAACCAGTCATTTGGATAACAAGTATTTCCTGCATATTTATACTATATAAATGAGCTGTGCTAAGTGCTGGGAATGTAATAGTAAAAAAACAAAACTTTTATTTTTAAGATACTTAGAGCATACGGAGGAATACAGACAAGCAAGCAGGGACTGTAATTACATAAGACTCCACTCCTCCACCATTTCATATTTTACATTTGTCTGTCTGCCCATCTGCCGCACAGTGTAACAAAAGGCAATGAACTTCTAGCTGTAAAAAATGGGCCATTGTTTTTCAAAATGCCAAATGGTAGAAAATTGGTTTCCTCTATACTAATCTGCCATAGTGGTTTGATCTGCCATTTTGAAACAACCATAACCCAAATATTTCATAAAACTGCACTATACAAATTACAAGAATTGGACAATGATAGGAGGCGACAGGCAAGGCTCAGAGGCCAAAGTGGGGCGCACCTCAGCAGGCTTTTGTTCGGAGATTTGGGGTAAGCACTGTTAAGGGTGTGGTGAGCTCAGGCGGTGTGGAGGCAGGAAATAAAACTAGATACTTTCTCAAGGTTTCTTGTTTCGATCTTTGAGTAATGACCAAGAACTTCCATTATCATAGTGATTCTGGAAGAAGCATTTGCTGCCGGTGCCTGGCGTCTCCTGAGAGCCTTTATGTTGATGTATTGCACACATCCACTAGTGACACTCAATTTGTCACTGCTCTGAACTCACAAGGCCAGTGTTTTAAATGAAGTCCTCATTGTTGCTGTTTAGGACATGGGAATGTGGGCGGTGACAAAACAGTGCGCTTAGCCATTTGGAGCCCTGTCTAGTCAAGGAGGACCGACTCCAGCCATTAGTCTGACGGACACTCATTTCCTCGGTCAGCTGAACATGACAACCTGTCCCTCAACAGAAACTGGCTCCACTGCTCCCCAGCCATTCTTGGGAGAAGTTGGCTTGTAAGTAGCCATTTCTGTGTTCGGTTATGATGTATTGAGCCCCAACTTGGTGCCCACTCCCCTGGTGTTTTTCCAATGGAGAGCAGGCAGTGTCTGCCTTAGCAAATGGGACAATATGGGCTCTCAGTGCTTGGGATTTACACAGCCCCTTCCTTTAAAGAACTGAAATGTTCACATATACCAGTCCCTTTATGAAGCACTCAATCCACGACCACCAAAGAGTCCACGAAAAGAGTAACCACCGCAGCAAATAATTTATTAATAGCTTTAGTGTCCTGTCTCCTGCTTCCCTCCCTTTTCCTCCTCCTCCTCACAGAGGTGTCCAGGTCCTTTGGGGCTTCCTTACCTTAGGAACTGGGGAGAGCTGCACACAAAGACTCCCAAGGAACGATTTTTCCTGAGCTTATAAACAAACACCTAAGTCCTTGAAGAAGGTAAGTCAATGTGTTTCAGAAGGATCGCATAGTGACTGACAGTTTTTGAGGACAAGGAAAAGAAGAATGAGTGCCTTATGCTGAGGAGGAAAGGGGGTCCTCCAGTCCCTCAACTGGGCCCTGGCTTTGTCCCCCGTAGGAGGCGCTCTGCAGGGATGACAGCGCAGTTCCTCTGGGGAGGCGGCACCCCCCTAGGTGCGCCACCGAAGATGCTGGGCCTGGAGGGATTGTACGGTGTCTCCATAGTAACCAGCAGGGTCTGGGCTCCCAAAGCCAAGCGGCGGCATCACGGAAAATCCCAAGTGCGGTAAGTCTGACAGAGAAAGACAAATATCCTATGATTTCACTGATATGTGGAATCTAAAGAAAAAAATAAGCAAACGAAAGAGACTGATGGATACAGAGAACAGACTGATGGTTGCCAGAGGGAGGGGGGTTGGTGGGCTGAGTGAAAAAAGTGGAGGGATTAAGAAGTACAAATTGGTGGTTACAGAACAGTCATGGGGATGCAAAGTACAGCGCAGGGAATCCAGTCATAATATTGTGATGACTGTGTGTGGTGCCAGGTGGGGACTGGAATTATCGGGGGGAATCACTTAGCAGCTTACAGAACTGTCTAACCACTCTGCTGTACACCTGAAACTAATGTAAAATAATATTGAATGTCGACTCCAATTGAAAAATTGAAAAGTAAAGAAAAAAACAAAAGGAAAGCAAAGAGTGCCAGGCCTGTTTACTAACAGTTAGAGTCGAGGGCAGAGGGCAGCCGAACTGCATCTGAAGCTGAATCCTCAGCCCTTCTGGGGGTGGGTGGGACTCAGATTCAGAGTTCATATAATCTGAAGGGAAGTCGTGAAACACAGTTTTTCTTACACACCTTTGTCTGTGGACCAGGATTCATTCCTACTACACTGACATTGAATATAGCTTTGCAGTTTTCCGAATTGAATTGCTTCCTTACCTCAATTAATTTAGGCCTTAAAACAACTATATGGATAAACATAATTCTTGCCCTTGCTTTACAGATGACGGAACTGGAATTCAGAGAAGTCGAACAATTTGCCTAGGAATATACAGCTGACTAGTGGCAGCCTCAGGAATCAAGGTCAGATGCATCTGCCTCTAAATTTCATACTGTTTTCCATAGGTCATGCTGCCTTTCTGATAAGAAAATGGATACCATTCATTAGCTACTATGGGGCAGGTGACTGGAGTTTTTAAAATGTAACTAGATTGCTCGTTTAGGCCGTAGGTAAGACTAACAAAATCAAACCTTGGATCACAGGGTCTCAAGGTCCTCACTCAGAACTTTCCACCCAACTTCTTCTCAGGCCCTGGGCATTGTTCCCTTCTCTGGGGAAGGGGCCCCTCCCTCTGCTCCATCCTTTTGGGTCCCACCACCGCTCTGCAGTGGGGTGTTCTCCCCGGGCCTCCTCTTCCTTGCTGCCCCAAGTGCAAACACAGGGCCCTGTCCTCCAGGGGTTTGACTCACCTCTCGGGAAAGAAGCAGCTCACGACAGCTTGTGATAGGAAGTGGTCACGCTCTCCTAGAATGGCCACAGAACCTCTTAATCCAAAACCTTCAGCTTTAATTTCACTCCCAGGGTGAAGGTATCAACCAGGTAGAATGTTGAATGCCATCAGTTTCTCACTATCTATCAACCACCCCTTGGTTTTATTTCCCACATTTCCAACCTTGAATTCGTGGCACACCATTTTAACTTTAACCCCCTCCGTGATCCCCCTTTCTTCTTGCTTATCCTCTGCAGCACCAACCCCGAGTGAGCTCCGCCTCCTCCTCCAGGCCTGCACCGGAACAGCTGAGCAAACTCAGAAACAGCTGAGCAAACTCAGAAACAGCTGTGCGCAGTCTCCCCGCCCAGCTGACTGGTCTCACTGCAGATTCCTGACCCTTAACCTCACGGGAGCCCTCAGACATGCTGATCAAACACTGCACTTCTCCAGGCTTTCGATTCCCTGAAACAATGATACTCTCCTCACTCCTGAGGTCTTCCAGGTCCCCTGGGGCCCTTTCTCAGAGAATGGCCTCTTAGCTCCTCTTACCAGGGCTGCACCAAATGCACCTGCCTCTACTTTCTCCATCCTTCCTCCTGTCCCAGTGGACAGAAGGCCCACGTTCCAGGTCCCCTCTGCCTCCTCCTGCACCATCATTTCTGTCTGCAAGGAATATTCTTTCCACAGGTAATTATCCTTAGGTATCTGCCATCTCGACAAACCCTGTCTTCTTTCTCCGAGCTCCTTCTGCCCTCAGAGAACATCCGTGGCTCCTGTCAAGGTGCCTGCAGACACAACATCCCCACTTCCCTACCTGTCATTCTCTCTGAAATGCCACCCACTGCCCTTCCATCAAAGCTTATCAAGGCCAGCAACTCTTTGCATGTTGCCAAAGCTGGTGCCCAGTTACTTTTCCCAATTTTCTTCGCTCCTTCCACAGAATTCAACCCACCAACACCACTCTTGTTCCTGCGAGGGGCTCCTGGGCTCCTGTCCCGCCTCCTCCTTGCTCCTCTCTGGCCTCGGGCTGCTTGGGATCCTGCTTCTTTTTTCCCTGAAGAAAGTGCTGCTTTTCCTCCACATCTTCAGAGTCAATCTAATCAATCCCCATAACTTTAAATATTAGTGGTTACTGAATACATTTGAATCCTGAAATAGGGGCTCAGCTTTCTTGGGCTCCAGGGACTGTCATGGAACCGACCTTTCGCATTTAATTAAATGTCAAAACCTTTTACCACATCGTTCAAGCCAGAAATCTGCAAATTAGTCTACTCCGCCCCTCCAATCAACCCATTAATGGGGCCTGTCTGTGCCTCTAACACCGCAGCTCTGTCTCCTTATCTCCATTATCACTTTCTCATCTGGACTCTCACAACTGCAAACACTATCACAAAGCAGCAAAACTGATCCTTTTAAAAATTACGTCAGATTATGTGACCCCTGGGTTCTGAACCCTTGCAAGGCTTCCTCCTTCACTGAAGGACACCCGAACTCCTTATCACGACCCGTGAACTGCTAGTGACCCTGCACAACCTCCGACCCTGTGTGGTCCCTCTCTCCCCTGCGTCTCTGTAACGCCCATCACGCCACAGCCCATCACGCGGCCCAATACGTGTAAGTGGGGCCTCTGCACGTGTTGTTCTTTCCACAGGTGACTTCCCCTAACCCATCCTCTGGCTGCCTCATTTCAAAAGTCCCAGAGAGGACTTCTTGCCACCTATCTAGAATATTCTGAACCTCCACCTCTTATTTGTTTTCTTCTTTGGGCAGGTCACAATTTATGATTTTTCAGTTCTTTGCCCTGTTACTTGACTGAACCAATTTCCCCAACAGAATACCTGCTCCATGACAATAAGGGCCAGGCCAGTCTTGCTGGTTCCTGTATCCCCAGTGCTGAGCACTGATGGGGGCGCCTGGAAACTGCGGAATGGATCTGTGTTGACCGGGAGAGGAGGACTCAGCAGATCAGCAGTGGGTCCACGTTGGTGCTGCACTGACAGGACACTCATATCCGGCTCCAGATTCCGTCCCCGCCCTAAAGAAGAGTGCCGTAGACAGGGAGGAGGGTTAGTCACAGCAGACCGAGGGTCCGTCGGATACAGAGGGGCTGGCCTGACTGCACCGCACTAGACTGGCACAGGCGCACTCCCATTTTCTGTAGAGTGCTTGACACCTGTGCCAAAACATGAAGGTCTGCCATTTCTGCCCATCTGTCCATGTCTGATCAAGAGTGTTGTGCCTTTCAGCATCTTCACGACTAGTTCAGGAATCCAACCCTTTCCTGATCTGTGTGTGTGGTTTAGCCTTTGACCATTGTGACAAGAAGAGTCAGCTGAGTCTGTCCTGAAATGCTTTGCTGTGCCATATGGCCAAAGGAAGATTGTGATGACTGATGCCTTTAAACCCCCCACCTTGGCTTTGACTCTATGTGGCCCATGAAATCATGCATGTTTTCCACGGCCAAATACCTGTGTGGGGAAGAGGGGCTGTGCTTCGTAAGTAATTTCTCATTGGGTTATGTCTAGGAGAGCTCTCTTGCTTTTTTTAATTCAATGTACACGCCTATAAATTTTCAAATTTATATAATGTGCCGGAGCTAGAGAAACATAGGCAATCATACCTCCTCCATGAACAGAACTGCCACACAAGGGGATATTCTCAACCATAAAAAAAGAAACAACTTAGGTGAATCTCGTAAGCTTCATACGCATGAGCAAATGAAGCCAGATTTAAAGGTCACACATTGTGTGATTGCGTTTGAATGATATCCTGGAACAGCCACACCTGTAGAGACAGAAAACAGATCAGGAGTTGACAGTGTTGGGAGGGTGGGTGGCGGCAGGGAAGACTGACCCCAAGAAGAGGCAGGGATGCCTCTTCTCCAGAATTCTCTGGAATGATGGGACTGTTGTGTGTCTTTATTGTGGTAGTAGCTACACAGTTATCGGGAGGCCAGCTGTGGTTAAGTTTTACGTTGTCTTGGCTCACCTGTATCGCCCAGGTATTCAATTAAACACCAATCTAGGGGCATTGTGAAGTTATTTTGTAGGTGTGTCGAGTTCTTCCTTCGGGTCAACTTGACCAGAACCTAAGGTTTATGTGAGAGAGGAAAAGGCACAACTGAAAAAGGAAAGGCAAAGATGAAAACGCCGAAAAGACAAAGTTGTAATTAGAAACAGTTTAAAATGTTCCCTTTGAGAAATGAATGGACCCACATGTGAAACATCACCCTGCCCTGTAAGAGCTCCTTAAGATTTACAGGAGTGATCATTCTACACCCTGTTAAATGACCAACAACCTCCTCTGGGGCTTTGGCCTTCTCACTCTGCCTCCCATGTTCCCCCACCCTGGAATCCTGGTTCTCACAGGGGCCCTTGCTGCTGGTGCACTGACTCCTCCAGACTCCGGCACTCCTCCCACCAACCCTCCCCCCTCCTCCAGAACTTGGCCTTGGCTGCTTTCCACTCAGTCCTGGTCCCCTTTACAAACAAAAGCCTTTCCCTTTCCTATGGGGTGGGTATGTTGGGGATGATGGAATTGTCATCTGGCTGTTGCAGAGAACATGCAGCCTAAGAAGTTTTAAAGGAATATTTGAGCCAAAACAATGACAATTACCAGGAAGAAAAATCACAGCGGATTCAGAAAATGCTCCAGAGAGTGGCGGCTCTGCAGCTTATTCTATATATTAGAATCAAAGGAAGAATGTAAGGGCGTGGGGGGGAGGTATTACTCGAAATCCATTAGTGGTAGATAAGGGAGCAGGAGAAAGCCAAGTGGGGAAATCACCAGGGTTGGAGAGAAAGTGAAATGAGAGAGGCACTTTCACAGGGGTGGGTACGGGATAGCTGGCCTTTACAGCACCGATACCCTGTCTGTGGTTTAGGGAGACAAGATAACAATGAGAAGTCTGGTGTCTGGTGGGAGATTGTGCCCTGAGGGGTCTGGAAAAGAATATCACTCTGCTCTTTCAAAAGCATGTTATCTCGGATGCAAAAAGCCTTACAGGCTCACTCACAGTAAAGACTTACCTTTGTCAGGGACGCTGCAGGCTCAGGATGTGACGGCCTCCGTGACCACTGTCAGTCAGGAGCTTTTATGTTCAGACCATCCTCCATGGTCACTCTGGGTCTCTGAGTTAGGAAGGCCACGGTGCAGGCCTCCCCCGAGCTCATCCAGGTAGGCACATGACCTCCTTTTTGTCCGTATGGCCCTGTGGAAGAGGGGAAAAAACCTGGGCCTGGAGCTCAACTGCCCTCCGAAAGCAAGCCCCGGGCCTCTGGGTGGAGGTATGCAGATTGCAAACACGAAGCTGCTGTTCCAATTGGAGAAGCAAAGCTACCAGGCCTCCGCTGCTGCCCTTTGGAACTGCAAAACCTGAGCTGGAGCCAGGACTGCCATCTGTGGAGCTGCTGGCTGCCTGGTCTCCACCATTTACAGCTTCCAGCAGAAGACATACCTTCGCCCAGCCTTCCAACCCCTTGCTTGCCTCCCAGGACCAGAACTTCCCTTTATTCCTCCAGCCTGTCCCCTAACTTGGTAGTACATGTCCTGTACGCAGGTTCCTTTGAATGTCCTGCAGGGGGTTCTAGTTTCCTGATTGGATATTGACACACTCCTCCCCACCTCTGGTGACTCCACTGTGTCAGCCCCAGATAATGCCGTGTTCACTGTGCGCCTTGTCTACAGTCTCTCTTCCCGGTTCAGAGGCAAGGGGATGTGGAGCACAGCGTGGGGCATCTGGCCAGCGGCACTGTGGAAACTGTACAGTGGGTACTGGAAATACTGGGGGAGCACTGTGTCAAGTATACAATCAGCCACTATGCTGTACATCTGAAACTAACACAAAATGGTGTTGGATGTCAACTGTGGTTGAAAAATAAAATATAAAAAAAGATAACATAATGACTGGGTAAAAAACCTAAAAAAGTAAATTTATTCATATAATCAAGCATTGTTTTTGGTCATTTTTTAAAATGGTGGTTTAGTCTGCTATCTTAAAATTCTGGTAAGCTTTTATTATTTAGAAATGAAAAAAGTCTGGATTAAAGTTGCATGCTCGAAGACAGCAGTGGGAGCAAGAACCCTCCACTGCGCCGTTCAGCTGTGAGGCAGCAGCACCTGGAAAGCGCCCTGCTTCACAGGTGTGCGATAAATACCTGTTGAGCGAACACACAGGAAAGCAAAACGTAGCCACTTTTTCTTGGTTTCCATGAAGACACAGCATCAACAGAATTCCTTTGGGCCGCACAGGTTTGCTGATGGTTTGGGGAGGTGGAGGAAGTTTACCTATAAGACTCAATAGCTACTGGAAGGTGTTCAGAGTCTTCGCCCTTGGCCTCTCCCCGTCCCCCACGCCACTTCCCTTTAAAGCACACCTGCCCAAATCCATCCCTGGGACCAGCGGTTTCCTCTTGAGACCCTCCACCCACACTCGGCGCGGGGCTGGCCTCAGTGCCTCTACACACTTACCCACATTCCACTCTCCCTTCCATGGACTCCCTCCTCCCGACCCTGCTCCCCACATCTCAGCTATGGGAGCCAGCAGCGAACAGGAAGGGTTTATTGCCCCTATTGCACAGGTGGCAAACACGAGGCCCGTGGGCCGAATCCAGCCCTCCACCTCCTCCACCTGGTTTTATCCCTCCTGGCAGCTTGTTTCTACCTGGCGGCAGCACCGAGCTCCTTGCCCCTAGTTAAGGAGTAATTACATTTACACAGTCCTAAAATTACACTCGGCCCTTTGAAGGCAACCGAGGAGCTGATGTGGCCCCCGGTGGAAATGAGCTTGACACCCCTTCCCTGTTGCTCTCCTCTCGGAAGGCAAAAATGCTTACAACTTGTTTTGAGTTTGACACAACTGCAAAAAAAATGACAGTTGAGTGCTTTGGCTAGGTACTAAATTCGGAATGTGTCTCCGGATCTGGAGGGTAGGGACCTGTCAGGATCGTCTCCCCTTTTCTGAATTCGTTGCTGTGTTTTCAGGGTAATAAAAGGAAATGGAAATGTACAGCGTGGCTCCCTGCTGTTCCCCGAGTGCGTGTGCCCACTGCAGGCCTGAACGCAGGGAGCGCAAATGGAGGTACGCTGCGTGACGGTCACAGCCCCCATCTTCCGGTGTGGCAAAGGAAACGCTTCCAATTCAAACGATTTCTGAAGTTAGAAAAATAAAACTGAACAAAGTGTCTGTGTTGCCAATCTTGATAGAAACGATGCAATTCCCCAAATAACTAGAATGCACACGGCTCAGAAAATTCAGGAACTGGGGAGTAACCTTCAGACAAGGTCGGAGTCAGCAGCTCCTTTAACACTGAGAACAAATCACCAGACTGGCCACTGCCAAGGTCCACGCGGAGGCCCGAGGCTCCAGTTGGCAGAGGTGGTGGAAGCCCAGCAGAGTACATGAGAGGAAAATAGAAACGAAAAGCAGGATGTTTGAATAGCATCGGCAATGGCTTCAGGGGCATCTTGCAGCCTTAGCTGTAGCAGGCAGGCGGGGCAGGGCCAGCTGCGTATTTTGGTCCTCCGCCCCGCCCACGTCCCAGTGCAGCTGCGCTTACTCTCTCACGAGGCCCAGGCTGCTGGCCACTCATCTCAGAGGTCACTGGGAAACATGGAGAGAAGTCACTCCTCATTAGCATAGCAGTCATCACTCCCTGTCCTCATCACTGCTTGGCTTCCTAAAATAAAACTTGAATATTTAACTAGAGAGTTTTGTTCATCAATCTAAAATGCCTTGCCTAGCAAAAGAAACGGGGTGAGGAGCGGCTGTAATGAACTTGAGATTCTTAATCTCGGCCAGGCCGCCTGACGTCGGGACTGTAAGTGTGGGCAAGTCTCCCCCTAGTGGACAGATGGCCTCACCTTGCATTCGCAAAGACTGCCTTCTGTGGGTTAATAATAAAAAAAAAAAATCATAGCAAAGGGCCCCAACAGGACAAAACGGAGGAGAGAAGGTAAGTTTGTTGTTATGCCACATAGTTTCTTCTCGAATTCTTTCTCTAAGGGGTTGATTTGTAGCGAGAAAGCAAAACGGAGTTGAAGTTTTTACACATCATTTGAAAATTCTTAACCCTTCCAGGGTTTGTTATTTGTCAGTAGAACACGACTCCAAGTCTCAGTAGAAGGAAGAATAAGCAGATAAAACATCCTTTCTTGGGACTGGTTGGAAAGACCTAAAGTCCCTTCTGAGGAGGCACTGTATTTGGGGACAAGCCAAGGAGCCTGTGGCAAACAGTGACTAAAGAAGAGGATCCTGTTTTCATGTACAAAATGAGTCCTGATGTCCTTGTCCCTTGAACAGGGGCATGCCAGCCGCCTCACCAGCAGACAGGCTCCCGTGGGTGGCCTTGTGTCAGCGTGCCCTGCCAACCCCACCTTGTTCAAGCCAGAAGCCACATTCTACTCTTCTGAAAAGAGACAGAGTCATCTATGCCCTTGGCCAATCCTAATTAGTCCTCCCACTGCCTTCTCCCGCTGTACTTAGCTTTCAGTAAGAACACTTGACCTGAAGTCTATGGAATAGAACTCAGAAAAGTTCCCGGGATTCTAAAATGAGCAGCAATATACCTGTATTTGCTCACTTGTAGGTGCCTGTGTGCATGTGCATGACTGTGAGCATGTGGCTTTCTGGATGAAAGGTTATAGACCAGGGGTGTCAAACTCATTTTTACCAGGGGCCAGGGGTTGCTTTCAAAGGGCTGAATGTGATTTGGGGGCGAGGAGCTTGGTGCTGCCGCCAGGTAGAAACAAGGCGCCGGGTGGGATGAAACAGGGTAAAGGGCCAGATTCGGTCCATGGGCCTTGTGTTTACCATCTGTGTTATAGACCAATTCATCGGATTTTCAAAGTCCCTGTGACCTAGGAAACATTATAAACCACTGAGGAAGAATCTCACTCAGCTGCAAAAACAAGCTGCAGCTGTGATGGGTTGCAGCGTCAGATGCCTGAATTCACACCTAGCTGGGGGTCCTTAGGAAAGGAACTTACCGCTCTGAGCCTTAGTTTCTTCATCTGTAAAATGGGAATAATAACAATAGTGCTTCATTCATTGAATTAATGCAAAGATTAAATGATGTATGTGTGCCATGCACTGAGCAACATGCTCGATACATTAATTGCTCAGTAAAGGCTGGCCTTTGTTATTATGCTGAATTCCTCCAGGTGTGCAAAACAGGCTCTGCAACATCCCACGTTTCTGCATCATGCATTTTCCAATAATGTTACAATTTGGGGGTGGGGTAGAAGGCTTATTTTGCCTTTTGGTAGGAAAATATGTAACTTCTTTAAAACAACCCAAGTACAGCTTTATGCAGGGTGATGCATGAGATCACAAAATTATATCATGTTAAAGCAAGTAGAGACCTGAATTTTTATCCAGGCAGGTTTTCTTCACTGATGTTTTAAATATCAGTGAAGATAAAATAATCAAGGTGGGTTATGAACGATGACTTGTCCAGGTCACACCAATGTTGTGGCCACACTTGGCAACCCCGTTCAAGTCTAGGTGGACTTTGCCACGGCTCACGGAGACCCTGGAGCCACTTTCCCTTCTATTCTACCATATTCTCAAACACCGGCAACAGAGAAGGTGGGGAACGGCTGTTCTGTGGGGAACACCCCTGTCCATCTGGGCTGCCGAGTCCTTGGCTTCCTGGGCCCTGCAGCTCAAAGCCAACTTTTCTTTTCCCTCCAAGAATTTCACATGTCACAGTCACCTCTCTGTTTGTCTTGGTCTTACAATTCATATTACATTATAATTCTCTTTTTGTCCCATTACAGTATAAACTTCTTGAGGACAGGAGACATGACCTCCTTCTAATAGAATCTGACAAAATAATTTTTCATGAAGGGAAGGATTGAAAGATAGAAGGGATTGGAAGGACATCTATTTCACTGATGAACTTGAACCTGAAAACCTCCAGAGGACCTAAGAAAAGTCCATTGCGCATTGCCGGCACTCTCCTGGAGTTGTGAGGAAGCTGTGAGAAGCACAATCAACTTTTAATCAGGGCTGCCTGCACAGAAAGGCTCAGAGGTGGGGTGTAAAAAAGGAATCCAGGACCTGCTCACATCCTGGGGACAGGACACTAAAACTTCAAAAGGACAAAAGATGAGATTCAAGCCTGAAAATAGAATCTATGTCAGCGACTAGCTCCTAAGAACACGGCATATGCTTGCTTCCTAGACCTGGTTCCTAGCTCTAGCACAGACCTGTCCCCAAACCCCAAATGAATCAATAGAGCAGACCAGTGCCAGGCTTGGTCTGC